ACTGGTCTGATTTTTTCTCACTTGCCCAGTCTTTTATTCCCCACTTAATTGCTCTTAATGATATCCGTCTCATGACACTTTCCACTTACTTGAAGGTGCTCTCTATCCTGGTACTGTATATAAGTACCTCATTCAGATAATATTATCACTTTTTCGAGACTGATCCAATCCGCCGTCTCTAACACCAGCTCGTATTGGACAGGAAGCACCGGAGAGTATGAGTGGATGCAAGTACTATCGGAAATACATTTTTGATTTAAGAAAATGGTAACTTCCAAGATATACTTATCTCCTCTCACACTACAGTTAGAATCCCACAATGAGAAGGTGGAGGGGCAGTTGAGGACATTATCCATACAGAATGCATCTACATAGATCGTGGGTGTGCCAATGGAATATTAGCACCCCAGTGGAGGAACTTAACTACATCCAGAACAGGTATGCTCTTCATCTGGAACCTACTTCATGCACTGTGGGTGGAATTTGACATGATTCATCATCACCAGTGGCCAGGTCCCAACCAGACAGCTAGGGTCCCACTGCTCGGGGTTGGAATTATAGACCCATGGTCCCTAAATCTCACATTGATGGCTAGAGTGATGTATTTTGAGCCACTGGAATAACAATGAGAAGGGAAGCTACACTGAAGTGGACAAATTCTCTCCTCGGCCTAAACAAGTGTGAAAGAACACACCCTAAACTCAGAATGACGGGATTCTGTATGCCATATTCAACCTCAGGAAACAGAACTCATCCGGTCTAGAATTATTAAAACTCATCCTGAACCCCCAACTGTGTAGGAAAGGTAAGTTCTACTTGTTCCCAGAATTATGGGAAGGACGTGGAATAAACTATTCTCAACAAATTATCCTGGATGGAACCACTCTACAATCGGAATTATGAGGAGACAATGGACCCTCTTCCATGAACAATGTACTGAACCAATATTGATTAAAAAGAAGGGCCATGCTCAACCCAACTGGATAGTTGAATATAAAATCTGAACCAGTACTACGAGTAGGCTCTCTAATGACACCTGGGAAAAAAAACATCCAGGGTCACAGATAGGAGGCCCCCCAAGAGTGGAGGAAAGCCACTCAAACAATCTGGAAGAATAACCTCTGTTTACCACCCCAGTGACTGAAAACTGGGTAGAATACAGGAAGGTAATTCATATTGGGCAGTTCTGAGGAACAATACTCTGGAAACAGTGCAATTGGTGAATCAAGTTCTCTAAATTTTTAAAACCTAACCAAACCCAATTTATGCAATTCAATTATCTGTAGGATGGGTAGGATCACTTATGCTTTACTAACGATAGTCCATGAGTGGCAGTCCAGAATACTGCATTAATATCACTAGTTTTGCCTCTAGGTGGTCTTATGGAACACCTTATTTCTACAGAGCCTGTTGGAACCAAGTTAAAGTATATTGTGTTAGTGGATGCTAGTGTGGATTTGGTTTGATAAAAGCACAGCTGATTGGGCAACTCTTGCCAGAGAATGGGATCCTGTGAAAAAGAGGTAAGGGACCCTGGAAATGAAAGAGGAGAATAGATTAATAATGAAAATACTCACCCCTCTTTATAATATAGTAAATGTGATTAATATAGCTACAGGGGATAGCTGAACACCCTCAGAGGACGATACTGCCAGATCATTCAAATAATGTCAGATAAAAGTATTGGGGGAGTTCCCAACACCAGCCCGCACAATGTTCTCTAGTGGGCAATTCAACTGGGCCACTAAGGACATAGAAATGTAATGAATCTAACAAGTCGTGACTTGCAGAACTCTCCTCACTTCCAAAGATAGCCCAGAATAAGCAATATTGATCACTTTTTATACCCACCTCGTCAAGATAACTGAGGATAAATCCTGGAAAACTGAATCGACACAATTAATAAAAAGCCATTGTCTAGCTCCTCTAAAAGCTTTAGTGCAGGCAACCTAACACCTAAAGGTCCTCACTGGATATAACAAACGATCAGGATCTGATCGGTCACACAGGTGAGAAATAGTGGTCAAATGAATCAGTGAATATGATTTATCCCCTTCTCTAGCTGCCAATATCTTACGTAAGAAGGTTCTGTCAGGGTATAGAAGGATGCAAGTAGAATGATAAAGCATCCTGTGCATGTGCAGCATAAACAATTCTGACTGGAAATGTCCACAGGTCATGGTATATGAGGCTAAGGGCTCAATTGGTGTCGAGAAAGAGCATGAAACACCACCTTTATATCCCAATTAGGTAACTGAAATGTTGTCTGGGATGAAGGACTTGAGGAGATCGGAGAGCACTAAGGACTCAAATAATTTCCAGTATGTAAAGGTAGCAGAGAAGGTCACCTTATATAGGGCAATTGTGGAAAATGCAAAGCCACTGGCAAGAGCCAGATAAAAACCATGCTTTGGTTGGCACATCTGGACAAAGTAGGTTCAACCTCTTCTCAATACTCCATTGTCGATATGTGTGTCATTTCCATTTATAAATGTCCATCGTGGGATGATGCAGAGACTGAGACAGGCACATGGCAACATTAGAAGTTAAATCCCAATGCAGTGTGAAGGTCCACATAATCTCCATACATAAAGCTTGAGCACCAGGATGGATGGGTGTAAGATGTTGGAAGAGGAAGTGGAAAAGGTGGGCATTCCTGAACATACAGCAGAAGTCGAAACCAGGATTGAACTAGCCAATCCAGTGCTATCAACAGAACATGACAATAGGTTGAACGATTCATTGCTAGGACTCTGGGTAACAGACTAATCAGTGGGTAGGCATATAGGTGCTATCCAGTCCAGTTCTGATTGAATACATCTATTGCCAATGCCGAGAGTGATGTAAAAGAAACCAAAATGCTGGTAGTTGAGTGTTCCAATGAGTGACAAATGCATTGATCATTGATGTCCCAAACTGAGAGCGAATTCAAAAGAAAACCTTTTGATAAGCATCCATTCTGTCGGTAGAATCTGGTTGGGTTGAGACAACTGATTCGCCAGCAAATTCGTCAGCCCCAGTACATGGCAAGCTAGTAAGATGATGGGAGTGGGCCCAATACAGAAGATACAAGATTGGAAAACAGAGACCTGGACTGAGTGTCTCCTTGACAGGAAATGTAAGACACTACCATAGAATTGTCGGAGTAAAGTATGACAACTTTGCTCCTCAATAATTCCAAACCTTGAGACATTGCCCTATGAACAGCAAGAAATTCTAAAACCTTGATGTGGAGAAACACCTCTTTGTCCATCCATAGGCCCTGGAATTCCTGTGAAAAGACTGATCTCTGGATGAGGTGGTGGAAGAGGAACATCAATCATAGTACTGTTCCAATCTAACCACCACAAGAGATTGAAGATGTTGATCCTGAATATAGTGACTGGGAAATTCAGAGGATCACAGTTCTTTAACCAATGGTCACATAGAGACAGCTGAAGGGATCTCACATGCACTCATCCCAAAAGAATGAGGGACTCGAGTGATGCCCACAAGAGAAAGAACCATCCTAGCAGGGGAAGAAGAAGACGTAAGAGTTGGACTGCCCGTTCCATAGCATGGAGCCAGATGAGAGTCGACTGAGCCTGACTGAGATATGTATAGAAAAAAAGACACCCAGATGGATGATAAATTGCATTGGAGTGAGAAGAGATGTCTTGGCTCTGATAAGTAATCCTGCCTTGGTTACCACAGAAAGCAGTATCTTAGTGTGATGTTCTGTCAGTTGATGAGATGGTGCTAGCAGTAGCCAGATGTCCATGTAATGGTGTATGCACAGGCCCAGGGAATGGAGGTGATGAGAATAGGTTCATATGATCCCAAAACACATAGGGAGCCAATGCTAGTCTGAAGGGCAGAGCCCTGAACTGCAGCTCCAGACTCTTGTGCAGAAAATGCAGATAGTGGTGGGATGACTATACTGTGGGAACGTGCAGATAAGCATCAGCAACGAACTTGGTCATCAACAGTTCTGGCAAAAAATACCAAAGCAGAGTGAGGAATGACTCCATCATGAACTTTGAAGGATCTAAGAAATGATTTAGATTAAAAAGATCGATGACCAGATACCAACCTCCTGTCTCCTTGGGAACAGCAAACAGACAGGAATGAAACCAAGGAAGAACTGGAACAACTCTCTCTCCACTGCCCCCTTGACCAACAAATCTATGACAGCAGTGGAACAAAGTTCCAAAATCCAAGGATCTGCAGGAGATGGAAATACTACAGGTTGGGGGGGATAATGGTGGTGGAGATG